CCGCATTTTACAATAAACTTCCGTCGGGTCGCTTAAAAACAAATATCGCAAATCGAATCGCAATATTTGTCAGAAAAATTAGATTTTTTCCCAAAATCGTGCAGCCCTAGCTACAACTACAACAAAATGAACATATTTGACCGTGATTGTAATACACTTTTCAAAATGATGCCGAAGTAACAACATATTAATACCNTAACTACATACTGATACCGGTTAGTAAAAACCATGAATTAATGCTTTGACAAGTCTGCAGACAAGATGGCAGGCGAAACACTTTTTAAAATGCGTGTTTTCTGAATGGAGATTGGGTCGATCAGGCTAAGCTAACGTTGTATATGCTCATTCCACACTCACAACTACGGCCTACGGACATAAATAAACCAGCGACTGTATTCGCCATGACACAGACAGTCTGTGGTTTGTTCTTCTTTAACTTCTGTATAGTTTCTGAACAGATATGAGGAGCTGTGAGCTCTGAGTGCTAACAGCTAACGGCTGATGTTTTGGTTTTCTGGTTCAACGTCAGTGACGACAGGCTGAGATCATCACCGCTGATTGGCTACTGTGAGAACGCGTCACACGAATTTGACGCGCGAGTTGAAAAAATTGAACTCGAGCTGTTTAGTTTGGAAATGTTTTGGGTGGTTTTGACGCATTTGCACCTGTCGGCCTCCGTAGAATACTGTTACATCATTACAATAGCAGCTTAACTTGGCTGTTTCAGCTAGTGCTGTGCTGAGATTCTTAATTAAAGGTGCTGTTTCGGATACCATAGGAAGCATACAGTTATTACAAATGTTAATAATGCCCAGATTTAGACTATTTAAAAAAAGCGAAGATCTTCAATTTTCTTGCTGCAAACAAATATACTTGATATAAGGAGAATGCAACTTCTCTGACCAATTAGGCTTGTTAATTGATTGTTGCACTTAAAAACAACATGCCAGCCCTTGCAGTTTCAGCAGGGTTGGAAGGTCAGCTCAAAGTTAAACCTAAAGCTGTTTTCACACGGGAAGTATAACCTGGAGACTTCATTTAAAATAATTGCAGAGGTCGTCAGTGTTCTTAAGCCTCTGCTAATCAGACATCTGTAGTCTGTAGAAAAACAACTCCAGTGTGCATTCGCTGCCAAACATCATGTCAAAAAGATCCAGCATACATTCACAAATAATTATTTAGTATTTATTCAATGTATTTCTATTAATTTTGCACTGACTGGAGCACTTTTCCTCCCCTTTTCAGAGGAGAATTGTTGAGGTCTTGTGTAAATTATTAATGACAACTTTGATTGGTTTCGGGGTGCAAATTCAGGAGGTTAATCTAGCTGCCAAGCATGGAGATACATTTAGAAAGAGCACGATCAAATCCATCAAAAGAGGAAATCCTGGAAGTTAATGAGATCAGTGGCACGCATATCAGCAGCTGGTAAAGAACATTTTATCTTTCAAGAGGCTCAGTAAAAACGTCTCTACTGATATGTTCTAAAAAATGTGGTCAGGAGACGGAGTGGATGTCACAACACATAAAGTGTGTTTGTAATACAGTCCTGTGTTAACTCGGCTTCACAGCTTTGATATAGATCACTTTTGTATTTGATCAAGTTAGGAAATAATCAGCTTTGATTTGTGTGTAACAAAACCATCTAAATGTGTGTGCTGCACTTGTTATCTTAGATCTGATCACCACATACACTATTGTTACATGGTATACACAATCAGAAGAAAACGCTACTACTAACTTCTATCCATGTGTAAGCAAGAAAATATCTCAAATAGTACTTGATTTTAGACTTCTGCATTTTATTTCGATGATCACAACAAAAATACTGACACAGAAAGAGCTGAAGTTTAATAAACCTTTATCGTCGTTATAGCATATGTTTTAATATTTAAGACGTTTTTTTTTACAGTACATTTATTCAGTAAATGTGTCATTGTTGCCTATGAACTTTTGTCAACAATACAGAGATAAACTTCACTGCAGAATAATTGACAGGCAGATTTGAATAATCATTTGACATTTGGCTGCAAATTCCTGTTAGGAAGTCAATTTAACATTAAAGCCGATGGTTCATTTTGATCAGAATGGATATTTAAGCAATGTCCTTGTGAAAGAAGAAAGAAACATATTTTTTGTATATAGATATTTATATTCTTTATGAAATAGCACTTGTTATCATAATGACCCAACCTAACACTCTTATGCTTGATATATTCTTCTATGTTGATTTTGTCAATGAATACATTATCTCAATAAACCTTTCATTTAAACATTTGTATGAAGATACCCTCATTTATATTTATTTTCAGAGGCCATTAAAAAAAAAGCCTTGTTTCTGTACGGCACTCTCAACCCCACAGCCTTGTTTCTGTATGGCACCCTCAATCCCACAGCCTTGTTTCTGTATGGAACCCTCAATCCCACTTGAAGTCTTGCCCCACGGTTTCAAAGAATTTGATATTAAATGGCCTATAAAACTCCTGCAGCTGCTCTATGACCTCCCGTTCGATCTGTACATGAGTCCTGCCCTTGGATTTTCCCAGGCAGCGCGGCTGGCTGCTGCTCTCCGGCTTCTTCAGACAGGGAAAGCCTTTGGTTCGGTTAAAGTAAAAGTGCTTGTCCGTGATTATTCGTTTCAGCCCTAAGAAGTCCTGAACGCGGCCCATTTCCCCCGCCGGATCCGTGATCAGCCGCTCCCCGCTCACAAAGTGCATCTGCGACAGGCGAAAGTACTGCAGCCAGTTCTCCAGGTGCAGGATGTACATCCCAATCCGAATGGCGTTCCAGGAAGAGTCGACGAGACCCTCACTTTTGTTCTTAAAGGCCAGCTCCTCAAACGTAGGGATGTCGGGCTTCTTGGAAAGAGTCTGTGTGTAGTCGGAGATGGCTCTTGTGACTGGGTTACGCACCACAACAATCAGCTTTGTCTCGTGGGACATGCTGCAGATGCGTCTCGGAGCCTCTCTGGTGACAAAGTAGCTGGGTGTCTTCTCTAATGTGATCTGGCTGTCTAGCGTTCGTGGCATTAATCCCCTTGGGAGAGAAGAAAAGAATAAAACACACATGGATGAGTCAGCAGGAGATGTTATTTCCTATCCAGGAGCATTTCAACATTACTTTTCTGCTGGAGGGATGACAGTTGATAAAGACAAGTATAAGTCATTCATCCCTATGTATATTGCAAATACTAAGTTAAAAACAACCATAGTATTATCATGTGGGGAAAAATACTGAAAACAAGATATGTATGTCTCTCATGTTTAGAAGGCAAACTATAGATCTGGTTCAAAGATATTAAGATAACTTACACAATGAATTGTATAATTACTTGTATACTGTATTACTGCATCAAAACAATGAACATTTATTTGTAAAAGTCCTGGATTCAAATGTCACTAAAGCAAAATTATAAGCAAAAAAATGTTCAGTCAAATGTACAAACTATTAAAATGTATTGTGGAAGTAATGGTTACTAGTTATACAATCTGCAGTTTGATGAATAAGGTGGAGAACATTGTTACTTTGTATTTTCATTTGCAAAGTAACTGTTAAAGTTACCTATATTAGACCCTCCAGAAAAACGCGATTCTGCGATCGCAGAATTTACCGCATAATCAGCAAAATGGCGCAGATTTTTAAAAAGCCGCATATTTATCATTTATTTATTTTTCCACATAAAGTTGAGAAGAAAAAAAATTAACTCGTCTTGACGTGACGTCATCAGCTCGCGCATCACAGAATGTAAACAACACTGTATAGAGCTCATTTACCAACGAACATTTCTACTAAAGACCGGGCAAAAAGTGGGGGGAAACTATTCTGCA